ATATTTTAAATCGGTAAATGTGTATAATTCCGCCATGTTTAAAACTGTTTCTCGATTGAGGTTATGCGGAGACGATGTCACAGAACAGGACATATTAGAAAAGACATTTACCACTTTTCATGCCTCTAATATGCTCCTGCAGCAGCAATATCATGACAGAGGTTTTACCAAATACTCTCAATTGATTTCTTGCCTCCTCGTTGCTAAACAGAACAACGAGCTCTTGATGAAAAATCATAACTCCCACCCAGCATGATCACAAGCATTTCAAGAAGTTAATGCAAATGTTTCATTCCCTGAAGTGAAGGCAAATAACTATAATCGTGGTCGAGGTCGTGGCCGCGGGCGTGGGTATCGCCGTGGTTATGGTCGACATCAAGATGGTCCTAGAGTTGCACCATACCACCCGAAGTGGAATAAAAATGGTGAAAAATAAGACAAGGGCAAGGCTGTAAAATTTGGCCCTCATAGTAATCAAAATGAGAGTTGCCACAGGTCTAGAGTGAAAGGGAAAGATATAAATTTTACTGATTTTAGCAACACCGAGAATGACCATATTGATCCAATGGACCTTACCCATTTGGATGTTGCTGATTTCTTTCCCGGGCCAAGTGGAGAAATTGATGGAATCAAATTTCATGGTGATGATAACAATGATGGCAACAAACAGATCAATCAGGATTGATCAAATATTACTTTTATGTTGCATTTGAGTTAAATAATGTTTATCTTTCCATTCCCTAAATGAGTTTGAAATTTTTTATGTGTGGTTGGTGGTTTGATTGATATAAGAAAATAAATTTTATTATATCTTCTTATAATACTTATTTTATTCCAAGAAAAATGGAATATAATGAGTCCGTGAGCAACCTGAACGATGGAGACATTTGTTTGGTTGACAGTGGAACAACACACACAATTCTTCGAGATCAAAAATATTTCTCGAGTTTGAAATTGACAAAGGCAAGTGTTAGTACAATTTCTGGTACTACCAAACTAATTGATGGCTCCGGAAGAGCTAATATTATTTTGCCTTGTAGAACGAATCTTTTGGTCAAAGAGGCTTTGTACTCTAATAAATCCAAAAGAAACTTATTGAGTTTCAAGGACATACGTCTCAATGGATTTCATATCAAGACTATGAATGAGGGGAATATGGAATTTCTTTGTATTACAACCAATATTTCATGCCAGAAGCCTGTTAAAGAGTAACTCCCAGTTTTCTCATCACGGTTGTATTATGCGACTATAAGCGAAATAGAAACATATATTGTGATGGACCAGAAGTCCAATGATCCGAAATTTTTCTCTCTTTGGCATGATCGACTTGGACACTCAGGATCGACCATGATGCGTCGAATAATAAATAATTCATATGGGCATACTTTAAAGAACCAGAAGATTCTTTTGCCCCATGAATGTGTGTGCACTGCATGTTCACAAGGAAAATTAATTATAAGACCATCTCCAATAAAAATTAGTAGCGAGGCCCCAATATTTTTACAAAGAATTCAAGGGGATATTTGTGGACCTATAGATCCACCTTGTGGACCATTTCGCTATTTTATGGTTCTATTGGATGCATCATCTAGATGGTCACATGTAAGTCTATTGTCAACACGTATTGTTGCTTTTGCTAGACTTCTTGCACAATTCATAAGATTAAGAGCTCAATTTCCCGATTATCCTATCAAGACTATTCGCCTTGATAATGCCGGTGAATTTTAATCTCAAGCATTTAATTATTATTGCATGTCAATTGGTATTGATATTGAACATACAGTTGTTGTAATACTCAAAATGGACTTGCAGAGTCCTTTATTAAGAGATTGCAAATGATTGCTATTTGGGGACATGCAATATTACATGCTTCTTCATTGGCCATGATTAGACCAAGTTCATTTCAGCAGTATTCACCCTTTCAACTTGTTTCTGGCCAGCAGCCTGACATTTCTCACTTAAAAATATTTGGTTGTGCTGTTTATGTTCCAATTTCTCCACCTCAGAGAACAAAAATGGGTCCACAAAGACGACTTCGAGTTTATGTTGGTTTTGATTCCCCTTCAATAATTAGATACATTGAACCCCTGACGAATGATTTGTTTAAGGCAAGATTTGTTGATTGCCATTTTGATGACACAATTTTCCCGCCGTTAGTGGGAGAAAGATCGCCAGTTCCAGTTGAACGGCGTGAAATTACATGGAATGTACCGTCTTTGTCTCATCATGACCCACGCACAAATCAATATGAGAAAGAAGTAAAAAGGATAATATATTTGCAAAATATTGCAAATCAATTGCCTGGATGCTTTTACCGATATGAAAACGGTAACGAAATCTCATATACCCGCTATAAACACCCCGACACGGGTTGATGTCCCTGAAGGACAACATGAAGAGATATTGAAACCTCGCATGAAGCGTGGGCGCCCTATTGGCGCAAAAGATAAGAACCCTAGAAAGAAAAGGGTAATAGAAGTAAATTCTCCTGAAGATAATATTATATGTGAACAAGAAAGAACTATGAAAAATGTGACTAATCAATCTAAAGTACACGATGCCCCTAGATAGGATCATGAAAAAGAACTTATATCTGAAGAGATATCTTTAAACTATTTAAATACCAGAAAAAACTGCGATAGAAATAAGGTTGTTATTAATACTATTTTTGCCTATGGGGTCGCAACTGATATTGCAAATGGGGACCCCGAACCAAAATCTGTCGAAGAATGTCGACATAGAAATGATTGGTCAAAATGGGAAAGTGCTATTCAAGATGAATTAAATTCCCTTGAAAATCGTAAAGTATTTGGACCAGCGGTCCAAACACCGGATTGTGTAAAACCAGTTGGATACAAATGGGTATTCGTAAGAAAACGAAATGAGAAAAATGAAATCGACTAGTTCCACAAGGTTTCTCACAGAGACCCGGGGTTGATTATGAGGAAACATATTTCCCGTGATCGATGCAATCACGTTGAGATATTTGATCAGTTTAGCAGTCACAGAGAGGCTTGACATGCGCTTTATGGACGTTGTTACTGCATATCTATATGGATCATTAGATAGTGATATTTATATGAAAATCCCTGAAGGATTTAAAATGCCTGAAGCATTTAAACGAAGGTCTCGTGAGTTATACTCAATTAAGTTGCAACGATCCTTGTACGGTTTAAAACAATCTAGAAGAATGTGGTATAACCGTCTAAGTGAATACCTTGTTAAAGAAAGGTATATAAATAATCCAGTTTGTCCTTGTGTTTTCATCAAAAGATCTAATAGTGGATTCGCTATTATTGCGGTTTACGTGGATGATCTAAATCTTGTGGGAACTCCTGAAGAGCTCACAAAGACTGCAAACTATTTGATGAAAGAATTTGAGATGAAAAATCTCGGAAGGACAAAATTTTGTCTCGGCCTGCAGATCGAGCATTTGTCCAATGGAATCTTCATCCACCAATCAACATATACAGAAAAGGATTCTAAAAAGATTTTACATCGATAAATCTCATCCTTTGAGTAGTCATATGGTTGTTCGATCATTGGACATAAAGAAAGATCCATTCTGCCCTCGAGAAAAGAGAATGAAGAATTACTTGGTCCAGAAGTACCTTATCTTAGTGCCATTGGAGCACTTATGTATCTTGCAAATAACACTAGACCTGATATTGCTTTCTTGGTCAATTTATTAACAAGATATAGTTCTACACCGACTAAAAGCCATTGGAATGGCATTAAACATGTATTACGCTATCTTCGTAGAACAGCAGATATGGGTTTGTTTTACTAAAATAATTCAGAACCCCAAGTAGTGGGTTATGCAGATGCTGGCTACCTTTCTGATCCACATAAAGGCAGATCTCAGAGTGGTTACGTTTTTAGTTGTGGTGGTGCTGCAATTTCATGGCGTTCAGCGAAACAGACATTGACAGCTACTTCTTCAAACCACTCAGAAATTCTGGCATTGCATGAAACCAGTCGCGAGTGTATATGGTTGAGATCAATGATTAAACATAATCGAGAAAATTGTAGGCTGACTTCAATACGAGATACACCCACAATACTTTACGAGGATAATGTCGTTTGTATTGCACAAAATCAGAAACGGCTACATTAAAGGTGATAGAACAAAACATATATCACCTAAGTTTTTCTACACTCACGAGCTACAAATGAATGGTGATATTGACGTTCATCAGATACAGTCATGCAACAACTTGGCATATTTATTCACTAAAGCACTGTCAACTGCAACTTTTAGGAAGATGGTCCATAATATTGGAATGCGTCGACTCAAAGATATCTTGTCGACATCAGGGGGAGCGTGATCATTAACTCTCACACACTATACTCTTTTTCATTCGTCCAAGTTTTTATCCCACTGAGTTTTTCTTGGCAAGGTTTTTACGAGGCAGTGTCGCACTATCGCAAGCTTCACATGGATGTGAACACTTTTTTCTTTGTCTAGTTTTTTCCCGTTGGGTTTCACTGACAAAGTTTTTAACGAGGCATATTCCATTAAGATTGACATCTAAGGGGGAGTGTTATGAATGCATTCAATAATATTTAGTGTGGATGTCAAAAACGTAAGAATTTAAGTGGGCTTCATTAATACTTTATGTATTCAATATGCTCATTGAGAACTATAAATATATGTCATTATAATCGATTAGAAACACACTTGAATATACAAGAAAGAATAAGAAGAAAATGTTCTATTATCCTTATATTTGATCTCCTATATTCTTGTTTACTTGAGTTTCTTTAATATATTTATAACATCAAGATGGAAAAAAAACCAATATTAAAATTTAAAACAAATTACAATATAAAGAAAAGAAGATTAAATAAGAAATCATATCAAGAGTGAACTCCCAATTACAACTTTTATGTTATTTTCATTTTTTCATTTGTTTACTCCAATTTACATTTGCTTATCAATTGTAGATTTGAATCTCGTTATTAAATATTTTATACACATAGGCCATTCAAGAGAAAAAAATCAGGAAATTTGCAAGAGATATTTAAATAATGATTTTTAAGATTTGGTTTTTGAATTTGAAGTTTGAAATACACATTAACATATCAAAAAATACAGTTAAGTTAGGAATTTGTAAAGAAAAAAAGGTACATCAATTATGGCATTTCCATCAATTCTGTAAATTGGAAGATCATTTTGACATTGTTTCAAAAAAAATGATGACTTCACAAATGAGATTACATAAGTGTGGTCGTAATCTTGTGTAAATTTATGCTGGGATGATATAACTTGAAAAGACATGGATTAATTTTGCGTCAATTTTAGGTTTTTTTTTTTTTTTTTGGAAGAGAAGATATTATATTAGGCATAGATAGCCAAAGATTGAGGAAGGGTCAATCCTTCAGTACAGGTAGTTCCAAAGTTCTTGGCCAACAAATGAGCCAACTTAAGTACAGGTGGTTCCAAAGTTCTTGGCCAACAAATGTGCCAACTTATTCCCACAACGTTTAATAAAAGAAAAATAGCAAGATGAAAAACTTCTAGATAAAAAACAAACAATTTTCAATGTATGCACCATACGATGCCAATGATGATTCTCCCGATCGGAGTGCATTAATAACTTGTAAACAACCCCCTTCCAACACTATCGAGTTCCAATCTTTCGTTCGAGCCCAAGATATTGCTACAAGGGCTGCATGTGCCTCACATTCCACCAGTTTGGGCTGGCCCCGAAATCGTCTAACAGCCCACCAAACGCATTTGTTGGTTATAATACCTACACGCAAGTGCACGTATCGTACAAGTAATATAGTGGACTAAAAGTCCGGATATCGAACTCACATGGAATATTTAATTATTTAATCCTAAACGCTAAATCCTACAAATTATTATCAAGCCCACCCTACATAGTCGAATTTTGATAGAATTAACTCAATTAAACTAAATTAAAAAGCAAATTAAAAAGACAAGAGCACGAAAGCAATTAAAAACGAATGTTTAATCAGAGTAAACAAGCCTAGGATTTTATTCTTCCCCCGATGTGATTATTATTCCACCAATTCCTTCAAGTATGCAAGTAATTAACCCGGATTACTAACCTGAGATGCTAAAATAATCATAACCTGCTTCCGCGTGTATTACGATTCTAATACTCTAGATTCAATTACTATATTCCTATGCAATTAATTCTAGAACACAACATTAAGCATAAATCTCAATAATGGCTACCTAAGAGATTAACTATATTCCTATGTTAATACCACAAAGGCTCTTCTACCGCAATTCTAATTATTAATCCGATCTTCCGATTCATGCGATTAACAATAACATAAAAGCACATAAGTTGATCAAGTTCATGCACTTAATAAAACAAGTAGAAGAAATAATCTGGAATTAAAACTTGCATAAAATCATAGAATTGGGTTCATAAATCCCACATAGGGATCCAAATAAAATCCTAGAACTAAGAAAATTAGCTACTCATGATTAAAGTTAAAAAACGCAAATAAAATTAAACATAAACGATAAGTCTATGCTTGGAGTCTTCGAATTCTTCGTCTTCGTTATTGCTTTGTTGCTCTTGAAATTGTGTAAAAGATCGATTCCCAATTGTGTGCTTGTCTTGGTCTTATATAGGGTGGAAAATTTGGAGAAGAATGTAGTTTCCTTGTGCAATTAGGATTCCTTTAATGCGCCTTTTCGTCATCTCGGACGACCGTCTCGAATTTTGTACTAAAACTCGGACGGCCGTCCCAAAATCAGGGATGGCTTTTGCTTCTCAGACGGTCGTCCCGGTTTTATGTGTAAACCTGGGACGGCCGTCCCATGCCAATTTCTTCAAATTTTTGATTTTTTCACTTTTGGCCCATATTTTCTCCAAAATTGCAGTTTTGACCCCATACTTTTCCAATTCTTCAGCTTGTACCTAAAATACAATAAATCAACTTTTTAAGCACCAATTATCGTTAAAACACACCAAAAGCTCAAATAAAAAGGTACGATAAAGTGTAAAAATATACACTTAACACACCCCCAAACTTGAACTTTTGCTTGTCCTCAAGCAAAATCTATCAATAAGCAAATAACTCAACTACCTACATCTCATTACATAGATCAATGATCAACTTCACGTTTTCAGAACTTGTAATTATAATGACAATTCTGAGGCATTCGCAAGCTCAAAATTCAACAACACTTAGTCACTCACCATTACCAAAAACCACAAATCATACAATTGCTTCAAGTATCAAATATTTACGAATTAAAGATAGAAAGAATTTATACTTACATGCATATGTTTGACTCCAAATACTCACCAAATTATTCTACTCTACTAATATCGAGCATTAAGCTATTGGGATCATTAGGGCTTTGTGGCTTTCAATTGTTAGGCTCTTTTGTTCGAGGTAGGAAATATGGGTATATGTGGATTCTTCTTGAATTGAGGAGATTACGCCAAAATTTGAAAGATAGGCGTTTGAAATAATGAATTCACCTCTAAGGACGTTAATAAACTCGATTCTCAAAAGTTCAAAAGTCTCCACTTTTGCTTTTGAGGCAATGGATCGAGCTTTCAAAAATAATTTCAACAACTAGTCCTTTCTTCTCCCTTCTAGTCTCTTCTTCTTCTTCTTCTCTCTTTTTTTTTTTTTTTTTTTTTTTTTTTTTTCTTTTTGTAATATATATATAGAAGCATATATATTTATCTCTCTTTTTTTTTTCTCTCTTTTTTTTTCGAGGAAGAAGGACCTTATGAAATTTTTCGACCAAACCTCAAGGGTTAATTTTTCAAGAATCTCCACTTTTCTACCTTATACACATTGGCTAAAAGAAAGAACACCTTTTCTCCGAGACTCAAATCAAGGTTCTAAGGAATTTCGATAAACAAGTCGGATTGAAAGGCTCAAACGGTTCAAAGAAGGCCCAAATCATATCCCAAATCACTCACTACTCAATACTTCGTATCATAAATTTCCTAAGGTGAGTTCTTAAACCGAACATAGCATGATCTAGCACAAATTAATTCCAAATTTAAAATACAAAACATTCAACCAAAGCAATACACAAAGTGTGATTCCTAGCAATAATCCGCTTCTAAGTTCCGTTGAATCGAAAGCTAAACAAACATCTAATCCTTATCACACAAAACAAGCAATCTCATCATCAAACATTGATCATCTCTCATCATCATAAATCATCGATGCATTCGACTCAAGCAATTGTTTTTTTTTTTAATATTCCGGAAAAAACGATAAAAGCAATAAAAATAAATAAAACCTAATGCATGCAAACTAAAACAAATAAGCACAAAAACATGTTTTCACCCCCAAACTTAAAATTATCGTTGCCCTCAACTAAATTAACACAAAGTTTAAGGATAGAAAACACCTGAATTAGTCGGAGTCGATGTGATCAGGGTGCTCCTCCCTCGCTCTCTCACGCTCATCCTCATTGGAAAGCTCGGGTACGGTGGCACTTTTCTTTCCCTTTCCCTTCCCTTTGGAAGATGGTGCTTAGCTCGTGCGGCCTCGTTTGTTGGACGACATAGTTGGGAGAGAGGTTGGAATAGATTCGGTGAGAATTGGTTGACAATCGAACTCAAAATTTGGTTGGAGCAAATTGTCAAACACCTTGTGGGCGTGCCTTGAAAGAGTAGATTTTGGAGAATTTGGTTTGATTCTCTAGCCTCCTTGTGTGTTAGATTTGGAGAGAAGGATCGAGGAGGGTTAAGGAAATAATGGGGGAAAAAATATGAATTTTTTCTAATTTGAAACGCCCCAACTAGGTTCGGACGGCCGTCCCGGTTTTTGTGCTAAATTTCGGACGGCCGTCCGAAATATTTTTCTCCTTACTGGTTTTGGGACGACCGTCCTACAAATTAGGCATGTTTTGGGACGGCCGTCCCACATGCTGTAATGCTAGACTTTGCCTTCTGTTTCCCGGACGACCGTCTGGGATTTTGTTTGCAATTTCGGACGATCGTCTGGACCCCATGACCATGTTTTCGACCCTGAAAATTAAAATTCAAGTAAAATAATTAGAATGCATGCCGAATATAAATTCTCCTCAATAGGAACCGATGCGTCGAAATTAACTTTTACCGTCTCTGTAGGAGGAGGAGGTGACCATGTTTTCGGGAAAGAAGTCCGATTTGTACTCTACTTCGTGAAGCAAGTCTGATCAAATTCAAGTAAATGCGTCGTGCACCAACTAGTGAAGTCTGTTGCTGCCATACTCTCCTCGTCGTGCATGGATCTGTTCCGCGACTCCCACGCCTTCCAGACTACGGTCATTGCAAATCTGAAATTATGGTCGTCAAGTTTGCTTCGAACATATTCAAACCAACATCGCATCGAAGAGTGATGATGTCGTCAAGTCTGAAATTAGGTTTTCTTACATACTTTATTTGCGTGGTGCAATTGTCTCGCGTATTAATCGCAACTGGCATACTCAATAGATGAAAAAATCAAATAAAATCATAATATAAACCCAACTCAAAAAATGAAACCAAAGTGCAACTAAATTACTTGCCTTAAGTGTTGCGCTAATCATATGTATTGATTTTTTAGATGCCTTCGTATCCGGACTGATTTTAGCTTTGACGAAAAGCCCAAGTCCAATTAAGTGAAGCTCAGATGATCAGGCCCGACTTGGGCCCAGGTCAAGTTCAAGGAAGCCCAATAACACAACTATCATAATAGACCGCAGAGGGTAATTAACGAGGTATAAAACCTACGAGATAGGCTTCCGAGGTAATCCCACGCCTGGCGAAGTAAGCATTACGTCGGCATCTCGAAAGTGGAGCAGGGCACAATTCTGGGACGTAAAGGATGGGTGGCAGGCTTGAACTGATTGAGGAACCGTGAAAAGAACCAATAAGAACTCGCTACGTGGCCAAATAGACAGGATGACGGCTTTTCTATCTTGGAAATGTAAACAAGCACAAAAAGGCCCATATTGTAGTAGTATATATACTAGGTCATGTATAGAGAAAGAGGGACAGTTCTTGAATAACAAAGGGAATTCAATAAATTGGACTGCCCACATATATTATCTTAGGCACATTATCTTCATATGTTATTTAATAATCTTTCTCATCCACATTGCTCTGTGATCTCATAAGCACTCAAGATTCAAGGTACCGATGTCAACGAGTGAAGAAGGCTTGGACGCTCGCTTCACAACGGTGGAAGCATCGGCATCCCGACAAGAAGGCCCTACTACGCCAGTCACTCCGGTGGGGCGAATGGCACCTCTGGTCGAGATACCTTCTACACCTCTCTCACTGTACATGGAGGAGGTTCAGAAAATGGTGAATCAGGTCGTACAGCAGGATCGAGCTAGCAGAAAAATAGCTAAAATCTACCCGCCTCGCAATATGGTTCCCAGGACCACTATTCGGGATGAAGGAACGGGTGCAAGCCCCTCCAACAACCCACTTATCCCGCCTTTGAGAAAACAACGAGGTAACCCATTCTCGGCAGAAATCATGGCTTTGGATCTACCAACAGGGTTTCAGGCTTTGTAGCACCTAGCATACGATGGGACAACAGACCCTTGGGATCGTATAAGTCGGTTTCATACCACGTCTTATTTACACCGGTTCTCGGATGGGATCATGTGCCGCGCTTTCGCAACCACACTGCGGGATGCAGCCCAATTGTAGTTTGGACAGCTGGCGGAAGGGTCAGTGCGAGAATTCGAAACATTCAGTGCCATAATGTTGGACCACTTCGCCAGTTCTAAAAAGCAGAAGAAGTCGGCTCTCACCCTTTTTGGAGTTCGCCAGGAGGAGCATGAGCCTTTGAGGAACTTTGTGCGTCGTTTCACAAATGCTGGCCGAGAGGTGTGGGGCCTTTCACATGATGTGCTTACTAATGCCCTCATGCAGGGGTTAAGGGATGGAGAATTGTTCAGGTCGTTGGGTAAGCGGGCGCCGTCGACGTATGACGAGCTTTTAAAGCGGGCCGAGAAATACATCGCAATGGAGGAGGCGAGGACGATGAAGGAAGAAGAAACCGCGGTGGTTCCTGCCCATGATACCCCGGTAAAGAGCCCATCGCGGGGAAAGGATTTACATAGACAGCGGCGTCATCCGATAGCTCGCAAAATCCCAGTCCCTGAGCAACCAAAACCTCGATACACGAGCTATGTCGTCCTCAACAAGTCACCAACCCAGGTTTTGATGGCGGTAGAAGGGGGTCGGATATTCGTTGGCCAACCACATTTCAGAAGACCCCGCCGCAGGGCTCTAGCGACGACGGTTATTGTCGATACCACAATAAGTACGGCCATCGTACCAAAGAATGTGGTCATCTGAAGGACGAGCTAGAGAGGTTAGCTCGGCGGAGTCGAATAGATCAGTTCGTTAAAACGCATGCGGGAAATCACACCGCTAGTAGGCGTGACCATCAACCCCGACCCTCGGTGGAACCGAGGAATCGCATCAAGAAGATCATGGGTGGACCTACGAGTCACTAGGCCAAAATGCATTTCAGGCGACGAAAATTTGCGACGTAAAAGTCTTATTTGCGACGGAAAATTAAGTTTTGCGACGAAACAGTTGCGACGAAACAAACGCGAAAAAACGTCACAAAATTGCCCGTCGCAAATATCTGCGACGAAAAGTAAAAAGTGTCGCATGGTTTGCGACCTGTTTGGAGAAACGTCGCAAAAAAATAATTTTTTCGTTAACTAAAATATTGCGACAAAACCGTTGGTAATTGTCGCAAAATCCATGATAAATTTGCGACGAAAATAAAATGTCGCTCTTTGATGCGACGTTTAGTTGTAATTAATTTTGTCGCAAAATTTAAATTAAGATTGCGACGTTTCTACAAAATCGTCGCAATATATTTTTTTTTTTTTGTTATTTGATGATTTAATTTTTTTTTATTGTTAAACCTTAATTATAAACAATACTAGTAAAATAAAATTACAATAAAAACATTGAACAACTCAAATTTTATATCCACTACTTTAAAATTCACATTTAAGTTAAATTATCCAAACATGAATTTGAAATATACAAAGATAAGTTAATTCTCGTTTTCTCCTTCTTCATTAGAGAATTAGTTGCAAGTGACAGAGGGGTCATAGTGCTCGGACTTACTTTCAATCTGTTGAAAAAACACAAATCACACAGTTAAGGAGTTGCTCAATCAATAAATAATTCGTAAAAAAATCATGTTGAAAAATAAAACTTATAAATGCAATTTATACTCAGTTACTCTTACCTTCTTTTCAATTTCATATTGATGCCACTCTGTATCAGCCTTCCCTTCTTTCTTTGCTTGACTGTTTTGACTGAGAGAAGCTTCAACATCCTCTGTCCAAAGAAAAAAACTTATATAAGAAGCATACAAATGCCAATATAATCAATCAGCACATTTAATTGAAACACAATAATAATAATAATAATAATAATAATAATAATGAACATATGGAATCTTTATCAAGTTGTCTGATCAATTGTGAACATAAGAAATTTTTTTCAAGAAAGTTCTAAGTAGTAATATCATTGCCGATAATGAAACCTAAACAGTTTGACATGCATATATTTCATGTATATAAACATAGCTATAGCATATATGCATAAATGTATATACATTTAATTGCCGGAGAACTGCAAGTCCGTAATAATAGAAAATTCAAGAAGATTGCAACGTAAACTATCTATAAAAATTACTATCTAAACCATCAAAATCATTTAGAGACAAGAATCGCCGATACTTGTTTTATTTTGGAATAATGAAGTTTTTAGATTCATAATGCAAAACAAAAAATGTCATAGGAAAACAAATAGAGAGAAAATCACCAAATTTAGAAAGCAAACAAATCAAGAGAAAGGGAATTGCATTGCCACTCGTAGGCTCATGCACATTATAATATACATACAGTTTCAATTAAATGAACTTATTATCGGCACAAATGCATTCAGTAACTATGGAATTATTTGAGAAATAATTTAAACCTTACCAGCAAGGTAAAGAGCAGACACAACGGGGAACGAGTGGTTTGCTACAACGAAAAATAAAGCTCGAACAATTGGTAATGTACAATGGCAAGCAGCGAATGGCGTGACAATGTGCAACAGCAAGCGGTGAACGGTAAGAAATTCCAATCCAACTACTAGCATGGGTAAAGGGAAAAAATTACAAGTTTGTCCTATAAGATTTCAAGATAACTAACAAACCATACACATTCATCAAATATCAGTAAAACACATTCAAAAAAAAGAAGACAAAAAAAAAAAACAAACAAAAATTGAAGAACAATACAGAACCATAAATTAAAATAATTGGTCTTTTGCAACTGTAAACCACAAAAAAATCATTTTGGAAAAAAATAATAATAACCCCAAATAAAGTATTTGAAAAAAAAAATAGGAAAGAAAAAAAAAAGTAAGACCATACCAATTGATTAGTGGGTTTCAAGTTTCAAGAATTCGGTGTGGGCGTCGGTGGAGGTGTGATGACGGAAGTGGCGTCGGCGAAGGGCGGAGGTGGCGTTGATGTGGGCTCCTGGTGCGTTGGAGGAGGGCGGAGGTGCGACGACGAAGGTGGCATCTTCCAACTGAAAATATGTAACGGCTAAGAACGAGCATGATCAAATTCATGCCAGTTAAAATAGTCCAGCTCAACAAATATTACACACATTCATCTTCTTCCATCACATTTATACAGTATATACTTGCTACCCTTAGCTTTCTACACATCATTAAAAAATTTGAATGCATTAGCAAACTGACACACAAAACATCGATGAATCAAAAAACAAATCCGCATTTCATAGGAACTGTTTCGGTGGATATAAACACCTTTCAATTTCATAGTAATGCATGGAAGCACAAAAACGAATTAAACTCTAAAATTAAAGATGGAAATTTTCAAAACAAACAATCATTCTACAAAATACAGAAGAAAAAAAATTGAAAATTGAAAATTTTGTTAGAACTTCAGTGCGACAATATTTTACTACGAAACTATTTATCGTCACAATATTTTGAGGTTTGGTGTGTTTATTGGATCGGATTGATTAGAATTGGTTGTGTTATTGAATCACTTAATTGTGCGACAATATTTTACTACGAAACTATTTATCGTCACAATAATTTCTATAAATTTATAATTTCTGATTATTTGCGACGATTTTTTATAAAATAGTCGCAAATCGTGCGACGAATATTTTTTCGTCGCAATAAAAAAGTCGCCTGAATCGAATTTTGGCCTAGTGAGTGGGGACTCGCACAGGGCGAGGAAAAAGTATGTCAGGTCGGGAAAAGTGGCCTTTTCAGGAAAATGGATTCATCAGGTGTAGGAGAGCTCGCCAACCATTTCTTTCGGTAAGAATGACAAGAGAGGGATAGTTCGCCCACACCACGACTCTTTGGTGATAACCGCGCACCTAGAGGGATACGAGGTATCTAGGATTTTTGTCGACAATGATAGCTCGGTGGATATCGTGTACAAAGAATGTCTAGACCAGATGCGTCTAGGAGAGTTAAACGTTAGCCTGGTGAAAACACTGGTCTATGGGTTTTCGGGCGTGGAAGAGGTGGCCATTGGCGAGGTTTCTTTGCAGATAACTTTGGGGACGTCGCCTTTGACACAAACTCACATAATACGTTTCCTGGTGATGGATACCCCGTCAACATACAATGTAATATTGGGGAGGCCGACCCTAAACAAATTTGAGGCTATCCTTTCAACAGTACACATGAAGTTGAAATTCCCTGTGGGAAGGGAGGTAGGCGAGGTAAGAGGGGATCAGGAGGACTCAAGGCGTTGCTATGCCGATGGAGTACGAGTAGCCAGCAAAAAGCGAGGAGAGATAGTACATTCGCTGCAAGAAGTACAAAGGACGGTGGACACTGATAATAAGAAGCCTCGGGTGACTCCGATGGAGGAATTGTTGACGATAGAATTATGGCCGCAAACGCCAGTATGTACCACTCGGATCGATAGCGAGATGAGTGGGGAAGTATGTCGGGAACTGATAGCATTTTTACAAGAGAATCACGATGTATTCTCTTGGGGTCCGAGGGATTTGAAGGGCATCGACCCCAAGTTTGTTCAACATCGTCTAAATATTCGGACCGACACCCGACCAATAAAGCAGAAGAGACGGCATTTCGGAGCCGAGAAAGATGGGATAATAGCTGCGGAAGTAGAACGACTTCTACAGGCGGGACACGTCAAGGAGATCCAATTTCCTAATTGGTTGTCCAATGTGGTGCTGGTAAAGAAAGCCGAGGGAAAGTGGCGAATGTGCATAGATTTTAGAGATATCAATAAGGCATGTCCAAAAGATCATTATCCTTTGCCAAGGATTGATCAATTGGTAGACTCCACGGCGGGGTATGAATTATTAAGCATGATGGATGCTTCGCAAGGGTATCATCAGATCATGCTCCATCCGGATGATCATAAAAATGTCAGTTTCGTTACGGCGGCGGACACATTTTGTTACGTCGTCATGCCGTATGGGTTGAAGAATGTCGGGGCAACATATCAACGGCTGGTGGATACCATGTTCCGAAGTCAGCTGGGAAGGAATATGGAAGTATATGTTGACGACATGTTGGTCAAGAGTAAGGAGGCGAGAACTCACATCGAGGACTTGAGAGAGACCTTCGCCAAGTTACGGCAGTACGAAATGAAGCTCAACCCGGCGAAGTGTTCTTTTGGGGTGCGAGCGGGAAATTTTTTGGGGTACATGGTGACCGAGCGTGGTATCGAGGTGAATCCAGAGAAGGTGCAGGCTGTGCTGGGTATGAGATCCCCGAGGACGGTCAAGGAGGTTCAGGTTTTAACGGGAAGAATGGCGGCATTGGGGAGATTTATCTCGGGGTCAGCAGCAAGAAGCTTACCTTTCTTTGAAGTATTAAAAAAGAATAAATCATTTGTGTGGACGGCGGAATGTCAGCTCGCATTCGATCAATTGAAGGCATACCTCGTTCAAGTCCCCCTTCTGCCAAAGCCAATAAAAAATGAATCTCTTCTCTTATATGTCGCGGCAGGGCAGGGAGTAGTTAGCTCGGTATTGGTACGGGAGTAGCAACACAAGCAGTTCCCAGTTTATTTCGTCAGTAAAGTTTTGCAGGGCGCAGAACAAAGGTATTCTGATATAGAGAAAATCGCCTACGCAATAATGATATCAGCCCAGAAGTTGAAGCCTTATTTCTTGTCACATGCCATCATAGTAAGGACTAATTACCATCTGAAGCAGATATTGAGCAACCCCGAGGTATCAGGTAGAATGGTGAAATGGGCGGTAGAGTTGGGACAATATGATGTGGAGTTCCAACCTCGTGTTGCTATAAAAGAGCAAGTGCTGGCGGATTTCATCCAAGAAACTACGCCGGGGTGTGGCGAGGTAGAAGGCGAGGTATGGGAGGCTCACGTGGACGGTTCGTCCATTATTGGAGGTTGCGGGGTAGGAATTGTATTAACTAGCGCAAAGGGCGAGGTATCCGAATATGCTGTGAGGTTGGCATTTCGGGCATCCAATAATGAAGCAGAGTACGAGGCAATCAAAGAGGGGCTTATGCTGGCCTGGGCTAGGAGAGTGAGATTCATCAGAGTATTTTCGGACTCTCAATTGATCGTTCAGCAGATCAAGGGGGCCTTCGACGTAAAGGATGAACGAATGGGCCGATACGTGGCTCAGATTTTCAAGCTTATGGCTCAATTTGATCATTGCAAGGTAACACAGATCCCTCGGGAGGAGAATCGTCGGGCGGATTTCTTGGCAAGGATGGCTAGTTCGGCAGCGGGGGTAAGGGAGCGATCTATATCGTTGAGAGTGGAGACGGAATGCGATGCCAAGGCCAAAGTCTTGAGCATAGAAGTGAAGAAGGATTGGAGGCAGCCATTATTGGCGTTTCTACGAGGTGAAAAAGTGTCCGGTAGAAAAGAGCAGGACAAAGTAGTTGTGTGAGCACGATACTTCGTGGAGATTGGGGGGGAGTTGTATAAAAGATCATTTGTCTCGGATCCGTTGAAATGCCTCTGCGAGGGGGAGGTTAAATATGCAATGATGTAGATGCATGAGGGGTGTTGTGGCAATCATACTGGCGCCAAGAGCTTGGCGAAGCGACTTTTACAAGCGGGATATTTCTGGCCACCAATGAAAAAAGACTCGGGGGATTTGGTTAAACGTTGCTCCAAATGCCAAAGGCATGCTCCGCTGATTCACGTGCCGGCCGAGGAGCTGGGTATCATGACATCGCCTTCCCCTTTTTCCCAATGGGGAATTGATATCGTCGGTCCTTTCCCGGTGGCTTCCGGCCGATGTAAGTTTCTAATCGTGGCAGTTGATATTTTTCTAAATGGGCCGAGGCTATGTCGGTCACCTCGATCACCGAGGCTAGTGTTTTGAAATTTCTATAGGAAAACAAATGTTCCCGGTATGGAATTCCTCGTATACACATCTCGGACAACGGAACGCAATTTAATGGCTCTAAGGTACGAGCGTGGTGTGTCGAGATGGGGGTCCAACAGCGTTTTTGTTCGGTAGCACACCCACAAGCTAATGGACAAGTGGAGGTAACTAATCGGATAATAGTATCGGGCATAAAGAAGAGATTGGAAGAGGCCAAGGGGGCCTGGACGGAGGAGCTTGCAGTATTATGGGCATAATGAACTACCTTTAAGTCAGCTATGGGGGAATCTCCGTTCTCACTCGTGTACGGAATAGAGGCAGTGTTGCCTGTCGTGGTACGGATACCTAGTCGAAGGACCCAATCCTTCAACCCGGAGCAGAATGGGCCCTTAATCCGGGAATGTTTGGATATGATCATGGAAAAGAGAGAGGTAGCAGCAAGGCGCATGGAGAGAGATAAAGCGGCGGTAAAGGCGGCATATGATAAGAGAGTCCGAGGACGTACGTTCGAGGTAGGCGACATGGTATTGCGATGAGCTGATTCTTTGAAGATGCGAGGTAAACTCGAGGAAAATTGGGAAGGACCATACAAGATAATGCAGCGACTAAATGGGGGTGCATATTAGATTGAAGACAAGAACGGTAAAAAATTACCTCGGCCATGGAACGTGTGTCATTTGAAGTTCCATTCTTGAAGGGCTGTTGTTTACTGGGTTTTTTTTTTGTTAAAGGTATAAGTGCCTTTATTTTGGTCAGGGGGTGATATACCTCATCTCTTTTGTTAATTTCTGTTATTTTGGTCTATGGGTGATATACCTCAGCTCTTTTGTTAATGAAATATGTGCATTTGGGCATTTTGTCGTAAAATATGCTTTATCCAAGATCAATAAAGTAACAAGACGCGAGATATGAGTGTAATCGGAATGATTACACTGGAATAAGACGAGGTCAGTATTGACCTCGCATCCGATATGAGTGTAATCGGAATGATTACACTGGAATAAGACGAGGTCAGTATTGACCTCGCATCCGATATGAGTGTAATCGGAATGATTACACTGGAATAAGACGAGGTCAGTATTGACCTCGCATCCGATATAGAGTGTAGTCAGAATGATTACACTCGAATAAGACAAGGTCAGTATTGACCTCGCAGGCGATATAATATTGTCAGACTTACTAAATCAAGCGAGGTCAATATTAACCTCGCATCCAAAGCAGCTCAACTTTTTAGAGAGGTAAAATGTTCAAGAAAAAGGGGTGATTGAATGATAGCACTTAAATGAAACAAGGTCGGTATCAACCTCATCAACCGACATCATAAGTTAATATTTATGGTTAGTATCAGTAAGGCAACCGAGGAACATAAGGTATAAAGAGAAAGTAAATCAACTTATACTATAACTATTTTGAGAAACAACAAAGCAAATGAAGAAAAATACAAAAGAAAAATATATATATATATATATATATATATATATATATATATATATATATATATATATATATATATATATATATATATATATATATATATCGCTGGCAGCAACCGCATCCATCGTATACCACGGTTGCCCATCACGGCGCACCTGTAATGGTTGCCAGGTCACTGGTATCTCGTTGGCAGGCAATCTTCCCATTATGTCGACGGGATCTAGGTGGACCGAGGCGCCAGCCTTCGCAATATCCATCTGCGCTATCTTGATGGTATGCGAGACGGCAAACTCCGTATACCGCATTAGGTACATATACCTAAGTTCTGCCGAAAACTTCTGCAGCATAGCCCTACCCTCGTCGGAAGGAAAATATGTTGGAGTAGGTGACCAACAAGCCAACTTGTGGCTGTGGTCTTTCCTTTTATCTTGTAATAAAACAATCGTTTTTTCGTTCGTAATAATAAAATATCTTATTTGGCATTCTATATCTGTTATCCCATGCAAGCAGCATAGATATAGTCCTAACGAGTTACTCTATTACTGTGAGTTGATCTAGTAGAATCGTGAGATAACTCAGCAATGTAATGTAACTGTTAAACCTTGTTCCTAGTCGATGGGTTACGCCAATAATGAGGATACCGGCCTTTCCCTTTTGAGACTAGCACTTAGTGTATGTGTACTGCGTCTTATCAGTCCTCGGTGTTGTGACATCGGCATGCTTGAGTGGGTGCTCATACTGGATGAGTTCACTGAACTCCCTCGCCCTAGAAACCTATAAGTGGTTCTCATTCATCGAGTAATAGGTTTCTAAGATATAGTTGTACACCATTAGTCCTTAAGACCCAGACATCACCGTGACTTCACTAGAGGACCGATTGTATCGTGACCTGTCCATGAGTCCCACCGCGGACCACTCCAAGGGCCAACGTTCGTGCAATCCGAAATCTAGTGTGAAGTCTGTGCATTGTAGTAGGGGATTCGAGCGCTTGAGTAGTCATGGATGTCCTGTGTGTTCTGACGGTTTATAATCCATGGAATCTATGGCTAGAGTTGATAGTGGGGTGATTAGGGAAATGTGTTTCCCTAAGTCGCACACGAACGGATTTATAATACCTAGAACGTTCGCACGGTTATTGAACTTTATAAGAGGTCTCGGTGAACCAATGCCTCTATTTCAATCGGGACATGTGCTACGAAGGGATCGTACTGTACGCTAACTATATCATAAGGTTCTTGCAGGCACTTCATTTGTATCTAGGGAATCATGATGCGTAGTTGCTAGACGCCAATCTTGATTAGTTGGGCACCGATTTGATCGGGGATTAGGTAAAATGAGTTTAACTCTAATCGGGACTCTTGGGAGGAGTTCGTATAAGAACAATGTGTTGTTCGAATCACAAAGAGTTGTGAGCCCACGGCTAGCATACACCTGAACCATTGAGGGTCACACTTCTCGTGTAATATAGATCCTTGATAACAACAAGCATAGATTAATGTGTTAATCTTTGAACGATTGGATGTCGATATGATTGAATCCAAGATTCGTAATTGTGAATTGCGAATTGGAATAAACGTGGAGAAAGAGAGAAATGCGGAATTTAGTGAACTTTCTAAATTGGGAAGTTTCCCGATTTAGCAAGTCCACTGAAGTGGAAGTTTCCAATTTTGGAAATTGGAAATTTCGAAGAGGCACTCGTATCGACGAGGACTTTGAGCTCGTCACAAATATAATTTTGTTATAATTTTGTGAACGATCGTTTATTAGAAACGAGGCCGACGAGGGAATGGGTTTAATGCATCAGTGGGTCAAGCCCAATGACTTAAGCCCGCTAGGGTTGAAAACCCTATGTATAAATAGACCTCAAACAAGAGTTTGAGATCAGATTTTCAGCACCAAACCCTAGCCGCTCAAGCCCTAGCCGCTCCCCTCTTCGGCCGTTGCTCCACCGGCGCGCCACCGCCGACCACCGCCGGAAAACCGCCGGTTTTTCTTCTCTCGTTTCCTTCGTTTTATTCTTGTTGTTATCTAACTCGTTTACATCTAGTGCTGTAGTTCGAGTGGCTCGAAAATACGAGGTGAAACCTAATTGGAGAGGAGCTGCTGCCCCGACGAATCCACGCACCGCCGCACGCGCCGATACGTCGCTCACGCGCCGCCGCTGCTGCTGCCGTTCACCGCCGTTCGTCGCTTGCTGAATCAGCTTGGTCCAGCTGTGAGTTGCAGCCCCGAGGATTGGTAATTTGCAACTTGTACGTGTTTGAGTTTTGGATTTCGATTCGTCGAAATCTCACGCTACAAGAGGTAATTAAATCGGAACTTTCGTAATTCGATTCGAACATGTTTGTATGATTTTTTAATTTACGAGCATGAGTAATATGTGATTACGTGTTTCGATTTTATTGAATGTTGAATAAGCATGTTTCGTGATTTTCGGTTTTACGTATTTTTCAATTAAATCGATAATTACCATATGTATGGCGGAAGCGTTAAGGTACGTTGACTATGTGATTAGTTTATGCATGTAATCGAAATTAGTTCGATCTAAAATTTTTAAATTCCGCTGCGTATACATGCACGATCCCCAACAAAATAGGCACGGAAGCCTTCTTGCCAAGCCCGAGATTTTTCCTCCTCAAGGGCCGCTTTCTCGCGAGCATGCTCGGCCTTTTCAGCCTTAAAGGCAGCCCTCTCTTGTTCAAGAGCAGTCGCCTGCTCTTGGGCCCGCTGCTCTGAGATCACGATCTGATCTCGGAGAGCCCTCTCTTTCTCGACCGCGGCGGCCTTCGTTTTCTCAAGCTCATCTCGCAGGCGAGATAGCTCCTGTTGGGAATGGGCAGAGGGTAGGCCCCTGTTGGCAAAAAGACCAACGAGGTGGCTAAGGGCGGCACAACCCTGCCTTTGTAGCTCGTCTTCTCCCAGTTTCTCCAGCTCCTTTTGATCGTTGGAAGACCGGAAACTGCGAATAAAGTCCACCATCTTGTCAGAGCCAGGCTTCGGGTTGAGCAACGAGGCCGGTACCGCGATCGTTTTGGGGGAGGGACAAGCCAACGCAATCGCCGAGGTAGCGGCTGCTTTAGCAGGTGGCGGAGCATTCTTCTTCGAACTCGACGGATTCGAAGCCGACGTTTTCTTGGGCAAGGGAAAAAGAGCATCCTCGGCACCCCGTTTGCGACATGAAGACTTGGTGGTGTTAGTGACGTCGGCCGTCGAGCTGGGCACCGCGTTGGCTTCATTGGTCGTAGGCGGCGCGGTCGAGGCTTCGGCAGCGGCATCAGCTTTTTTCGGAACCAGGGTTGCACGAAGATGGGGAAACCTCGCTGCTTCTAAAAAATAAGAAAAATGGGGCAAACGGTTAAAAAAATATACTTATTACCGAAAGAGGTAGTTCACGTTAAATCGAGATTATTACCGCGTTCGGCGGGAGTCATAGCAGGCCCCGGCGTACGGAGTAAACCAAAGGCAGCAAGCAGCCCTGGTGTCCGTATGGCATTTTCTACGTCTAAATATTGTTTATGAAAAAAAGACTCTGTATACGCAACATCGGCAAGCATATCGTTGGTATGAGGAGGTGGGGTTTGAATACTACCGGCTTTGGTATTAAAGGGCCACGGTTCATTGATTCGAACGAAGAAGAATCTTCGATGCCAATAATTTATTTTGTTCGGAATATTGGTAAAAATAGTCTTATCTCGCCGATCGGAAAGATAATACATCGACCCAGAACGGCGAGCATAGAAAAAATAATCCAATAGCCCGCCGCAAATATTTTGGATATGTTGGAGGGTGCATATCATAAAAAAACAATTCATTATACTAAATG